GACATACCTTGACCATTTGAAACGTCCAGCTTCCCAGCAGACAAAGGAATCTACAACACAGACAACACATCGGTTCTTGATAAAATCAAAAGTACTTGGACAGAAATAACAAAATATGATCTTTGGACCGTTTATTCACAACTTCGAACACAATACTCAAAACCTTATCCGAAATGTGGTAAAATACAATAAAAAATGAAACAAACAGACCTTGCCGGTTCTTTTTAATCAGACTTATTTGTCTCTATATATATACATACATACATATATATATATATATATATATATATATATATATATATATATATATATATAAATTTAATGGTACCTTAAAAGTGGTCTCCTTTTATTATATATATATATATATATATATATATATATATATATATATATATATATATATATATAGATAGATATTTTGAACAATAAAAATATTAAAAATTAAAATCTTCTGAGACATTGGGTTGTAGATTAATATTCTTTCGTTTTTCATTATTATTCCATTTAGATTCCTCGACTAGTTTTCGACCGAAATGGCCATCATCAGGAGAAGAAATATTTCTGCTTGCTGGTAGCAGTGAACTACAGAAATGAATGTCTTAATGGAGAAAAATGAACTTTTTTGTCTGTAGTTTTCATTTGTTTTTTTTTATTTTTTATCTTTTTAACATGAATCTTTTAACATATATATATATATATATATATATATATATATATATATATATATATATATATATATGTATGTATACATATATATATATATGTATGTATACATACATATATATATATATGTATGTATATACATATATATATATGTATGTATATATATATATATATATATATATATGTATACATATATATATATATATATGTATATGAATACATACATATATATATATATATATATATATATATATATATATTAAGTTGATGAGACTAAGTTGAAAATATATACTACTTACATTTGCTTCATCATTTCATGAATGTCGCATAATCTTTACTATTTCAGATCTATTATCCATCCTCCACACACATATACATATATGTATATATGTAGGTTTACACACACACACACACACACACACATATATATATATATATATATATTCAAAATGCTGCATTTCCAAATTTTCTCTGTCAGTCTGTGCTAGTATCACACTTAAGAAAACACAAATGAAAATGTCTTTTCCTTATCTGACTTTCTATTCACAATAGCCCCTGCTAGCATGCATAAGTATAAAACGAAAGGCACCATCCAATGCTGACCCTCATTTATTGTTCGGGATAGCAGAGTCCACTATATATATATATATATATATATATATATATATATATGAGTAAAGAAAAATAACCCACCTTTCTGATCTCTTTTTCTTTTTTTAGCATAGATCTGATGCTTAATTGGTTAATCTAGACATACCCACAGGTATATTCTTAATTCTGACCTTATGCGTCCCAACTTTTCGCTTCCGAAACGAGGTAACGATTTGTTTTTAAATTTCCTTAACACGTGCTGTAGCTTCCCTCTGCCTTTTCTACAAGTATTTTCATGGCAACTGCTCCGACAATCTACTTTCACTGGTTCCCAAACTGCATGAATTTAAGCGTGCTACTAGTTTGGCATCTCGCTCCCACATTTTCACTGTCGAAACGACTAAATGTAGCCACCTCTTCTATTCCAACAGCTAATTATCTCGCACCTCCTGGCAGTAGAAATGCCTTCCTATCACTTGCTTCCCTGATAGCTATAATCTTCAAATATTCAAATGTAATGTCAATCGACATCTTCTGATGCTTTGATCTTTATCCCGGTCCTTCTCTTAATCCTTTTCCCAAACACTCCTCTTTACTCTTACTCCCACTCTCTGTAAGCCCTTGCGTGCTAGTGGCCGTCTTGTCTTGCTCGGGGCAAATTGCTAAAAGAAATAAATTATTTTTATTATAAGTTACCAACCATCGCATGAGGAAGCACTATCATAGCACTGAAATATGAAAGCTTTTGTGTAACGATGTAAAATGATTTTCTTATAGTCTATTATATATATATATATATATATATATATATATATATATATATATATATATATATATATATGTGTGTGTGTGTGTGTGTGTGTGTGTGTGTGTGTGTGTAATAGAAATCTTATAAGTATAAGAAACTATACTCGCGCGGAAGACCTTCGGTGTCTTGATTTGCAAGTAAACAAACAATACAAAAGGGAAACAAAAGGTATAAAAAAGAAAGAACCAAGAATATGTACGTTAGCCGAAAATAATCATCCAGCATCCGAGTTCATGGCCCAAAGAAAAAAAAAACCCGATGCGATTATCCAAAATGACTAAATAAAGTGCTCAATACAATGAGTAGAGCAGACCTAGTTAAACCTAGACAGCCAGGCAAACCTACCAAGGTTTCACCTAAGCGGATCGTCAGGGAAGGCTGGCCTCCATATTAGTCGATTTTAAAAAGTGCTCGATAGGGTAGCCTAGAGCTGGATTATTATTAATAGAAATCTTACAAGTATAAGAAACTATACTCGCTCGGAAAACCTCCGGTGTCTTGATTTGCAAATAAACAAGCCAATACCAAAGGCTCTTCCCTGACGATCCGCTTAGCTGAAACCTTGGTAAGTTTGTCTGGCTCTGTAGGCTTAACTATATATATATATATAATCTGCTTTTTGTTCAAATTTTGGGAAGTGGGTCAGATCAAGAACTATTTTTAAAGCCCTCACGTGTGTTTATATCAAATATATAAACATTAAAGTGTCCGTCTGAAACTCTATGACCTGCCTCTGATAGGAGGTAAATTTAATGCTATGTCGATTTAATATGCATTTCACTCCCGTGGATATCGAAAAGATGCAATAATTGCTCAATTGCCATCGCCACTTCTTCCCTCGCTTCAATTATTGACTCTGAGTTGCACTCTTTCAGTGGAATAGGAGAGATGCTTATATTTACATCTCTTATATTTCTCACAAATTATCTTTATTTGATTAATGATGATAATTAAATTTGCATATGCAGTTTTAAAAATCGTACAAAACTATCATGTTTTGTTATGTATTTCCAATCTACTTTTTTAAAGAAACAAGTGTTTTGTTTTTGTTGATGGCTTTTATAATGGTCTATTTATTCAAACCCATTTTTTTCTTGAAAGCGGTAACTATCTTAGCATTTAGATCACAGTTTGGGAGTAAATCTTGACATTTTAATAGTATATTTTAAAAATCTGACAAATTTAAATTTTAATTCATACGTCTTCCTAAAAATTCTAAAATAAATGATTTGATTTGTTTATCGTTAACAATAAGTCAATTTAAAGAAAAGAGGAAATATTTCATTGTTAAAAAACATTCGATTATAATGTAATCGATATTACCATTTCACCTTGACTTCGTATACCGTATTTAAAAATGATTACCAAAATGTTTTATGCTATCGAATCGAATCGAATTTTTGAGGAGCGTGGAACCACATGTTAATTGCCGTTTTTTTTTCCATATCCATCCTGCCCCGGGGCGGTGGAACCCGGTAGAGTCCCAGCTTTGGGTAATTAGTGAACCTGGTACGTGGAGGTCACTCTTCGACACGCCAACGTCACCAATAAGAACCACTGGGAGAAAGAGATACCTTAGGCCTTGTTAGGACATCTCCCCACCCTGCTAGGAAAATCTGATGTAACATCTGTGGAACATAGCAACCGATGATGCTGATAGCCACTTCTTTTCGAACCATTGCTTGTGTTGCAAAGATAGTGGGATGACCCTGTGCGCAATCTATCTTCACTTTAAAAAAATTAAAGCACACTGTTTTAAGGATCTTTCTGGGTGATGCGTATGGCTGACCATAACCTTAAAAGGCGTGAATCTTTGCGGGAGGTTGTGTGATGTTTCGGGAGGCATGTGTGATACACACACACACATACATACACACACATACATACACACACACACACACACACACACACACACACACATATATATATATATATATATATATATATATATATATATATATATATATACTGGGGTTGATAAGACAGACGACCGATATCTTCGCCTGCCGAAATAGAAAATGAGGTAATTTTGGATTTTGTAGTTTATTAATTATATTGCTCTGTAATACATTGAACCCCTTTTTGTGGATTACTTTTAATATTTTATATTACTAGGATCCACTTGGATTATATACCAACGGATTTTTACGCTTACTATATATATTTAGTTGAATTAATATGAGTTTGTCACCCTGCTTATACGATCCTCAGACAAACTTTAGACAATTTATGCCAGTTTTGTTTGATTATAAATAGTATCAAATTATAAAAAAAATAAATCAGTTTGTCTGAGGTCCGCATAAACGTGAAACACAGGGTCACAAACTCATATCAATTCAACTAAATATGTTAGTTCTATCTCTGATATTGAGCGCTTTCCTATAAGCAGAGCACATACATAAAATCTATATAGAATTCACACACACACGCACACACACACATATATATATATGTGTGTATACCTATATATATATATATATATATATATATATGTAAAGTGTATATATATATATATATATATTCAATTTATTATATATATTATTTATATATTATATATGCGCGATACTTATTGGAAAGCGCTCAATATCAGAGATAGAGCTAACATATTTAGTTGGATTGATGTGAGTTTGTGATCCTGGGTTTCACATTTTTGCGATCGTCAGACAAACTCTTGATTTTTGTCTGACGATCGCAAAAACGTGAAACCCAGGATCACAATCTCACATCAATCCAACTATATATATATATATATATATATATATATATATATGATATGATGTGTCTATATGTGTGTCTATTTGTGTGTGTGTTCATGTTGGCGTTTATGTGTGTGCATGTGCAATAGTAATAGAAAGAGGAGAGAGAGAGAGAGAGAGAGAGAGAGAGAGCAAGAGAGATGGACCGGTTATAAATATATTTTTTGGCCAAATGAAATGTTTCGTTGGAACAGAAAGATTGAGACGCGCCGATTTTCGCTATTTTAAAATGATTCTATAATTCTTAAAACATCATTCGAAATCCCCTCTTTTACGTTGACTCAAACATTTAGTTGATGACCGACTAGTTCTGACAGGGACCCAAATGACTGATGTATTTTCAGATGATGTGTGCATATATGTATATGCCTGTGTATGTATGCAAGTGAGTGTGCACGTTTATGTGCCCTTAAGGGTAAAACTAGTCACACACGCATAAATATGTGTATGTATGTACATGGCTATTTTTTACATTTACGACACAGAGAGTGATATTCTGTAAGTCTTTTGTTTCGTCGGTCCTCATTGGGGACGTGGAAAATTGTATCTAATAAATCTTTACATTACTTATAAGGTCAACGCCAGTGAGCGTTTGGAAGCAGACTCGTATCACAGACCAATTCATTCGTGTTGAAATCCTTGTGAGTATTTTAAGTCGAAACATTGGAAAACGTCCATTTTGTTGACTACTTTCACCGGAAGTAAACAAGGCGGGAAGCCACTAGTAGGCAAAGGGTTACAGAGAGTTGGAGTGAGCGCAAAGATAGAGGAAAGGATGAAGAGAATGTTAGGGGATAGATCAGAGCTATAAGGGAAACAAGAAATGAGGAGGGAGTTCCACAGGCGAGAAGTGTGAGAAATGAAGCTATTGGAGTAGAAGAGACGGCTATATTTAACAGTTTCAACAGTGAAAGGGTGTGAGCGAGATGTCAGCCTGGTAGAACGCTTAAATTCATGAAGTCTGGGAACCAGCGAAAACAGCTCATCGAAGCAGTTACCGTGAAAGTATTTGTAAAAAAGACAGAGGGAGGCAATGGCACGTCTGTGAGAGAGCGACTGCAGACGAGATGCCAGATCAGGGACAATTACCTTGCATATCCGTCTTTGGACTTTATCAAGGACCTTGAGACAAAGAGAAGGGGCTCCAGACCATATATGGCAGCAATGCTCCATGCAAGGGGCGAATGGTTAATTTGTAGATTTGAAGGATTGACACTGGCGAGAAAAATTTCCTGGCCCAGCACAGGGATCCTTCTTTCATTGCGGTGGACGAAGCTATTGACTCAATGTAATTGTTTTATCTCAGGTCAGCAGTCAATGTGAGACCGAGCAAAGAGGTGCTCTCGTGGAGTTGAGCTTCAGACATTCTAATGGGAGGCAGGGGTTGTTCTCTCTGCTGAGTAATAGAGAGAAGTTTTGTTTTTGAGGCATTAAAGTTAACCTGCCAATTCCGACCGCAGTCTACAACCGATTGGAGGTTCTTTTCAAGACAAACGCCAAGGTTAGTTTTGTTGGCGACACTAGATTCTTTCGTTTCATCTGAGATAATTCTCTAATTACTCGTGTTTTCCTATGGCATTGCATAAATTTGCATCTGAGTATAATAAAAACAGTTTAATTGCGATATTTAATTATTGATACATCCTAAAGACTAAACATTCTCAGAGATCATTTCCAGATAAAGTTGCTTTGTTGTAATATCATTATAAACAGATTGAAGTCAGGTTCCAGGGAAACAAAAGAAATTCAATAAACTCTGCATAAAAAGACAAAAGAATGATGCGTTGGGAAATTTTCTTGCTTGAAAAACATTCAATGAAGGAAGTTTCTCTAAAAAAACACATTCAAAATACCCGGTCTCTAAAGTCGACCAATAGTAAAACTAAACTCTCTCAACCACCAAGTATGCTAACCTTCAACGCTCAGCAAGACATTGAATTTAATTGGATGTAAACATTATTCCAAATGATAATTAAATAGTGATCAAGATAGCCAAAAAGTAAACAGAGACGTGTTTTATGACCTGCAGTGACGTCTAGAAATGAGGGTTTCAAATTAATAAGCACAAGCAGCAAAAATGATATAGACTAAATAAATCAATGAAAACTTTCGGGATCAAGTATCACTCGGCCGGAAAGTAGTGAATTCCAGTTGTGTGCATTATATAGTCATATCGCATTCTAGAATAGTTTGATAGAAAGCCGAGCATCACATGTAGAAATGAGCAGAAGGGTAGGAGGAGAGAGTCGTCAATCATTGTGATGAGAAAGAGAGAGACAGGGGGAGAGGGAGCGGGGAGAGTGATGGTTAGAGTAATAAAAATGCAGAGACAGCAACAATCGGAGTTGTAACTGATCGAAAATTTGTTTCTCTATCGTGAAAGAAAACAGAAGTACTACCATATGTGTCATCTAACGACCTCCATATGGTAGCCGAACCCATGAATTAATAACCTATAATATTGAAAAATATATTTCTCCAACGTGGGGATGTTTTTGTTCTCTACTAGACACTGTAATTTTTGTTGTCACTCTGGGATGAAGCTGTTTAGCCGGGTAAACACTGAGACAAATATACACAGCTGGCTAGTAAAAAAAGTGTGGTTTCTTGAAGAGCTTATTTATTCATATTATTCAGCGATATGTCAGTAACGAGGTTTTTAAAAGGTTTACATGTCAGTAACAAGGTTTTTAAGGCTAGCAAAGAAGGAGAGAACTCAAAACTAAATTGATTCATGCCTTTTCGAAAGGTATCGTTGCCGTGTGAACATTAGTAGTCATACTTTTCCCTCATTACACCTTCCCCAACTTTTAAATTCTCTTATGCCATTTCTCATCTTACGTATAAAGAATTCCGATTTGATCAACGAAATAATTCTTTCATTTTAGAAAAATAATTCTCTTGGTTATTAAACACAGTCCTTGACTTCCAATCATAGATTTTCTTTTCTTTACACTTCAAATGAAATTATATTTCCAGCATCCATCAGTGTGTTGTTATGAAAAATAGATGATAAAAAAAAAAAGAAGATTTTATTTGTTGTCAATATGAAGGATTAAATTCAGTCTTTTGGCGCCGAATATTATTCGCAAGAAAATTAATGTAACGTCGAAGAAGTTTTAAATAATGACATTCTGTCGTATAACCAAAGTTAGCAAGTACAAATATAAATGAAAGCGAACACACACACACACACACACACACACACACACACACACACACACACACACACACACACATATATATATATAAGTGCACGCGTGTATATGTAAGTGCAGGTGAGTTTTCTTTCTCTTCCTTTACCTCATATATATATATATATATATATATATATATATATATATATATATATATATATATATATATGATAATTAAGTGATTCAACGAGTCTAGAAGAAACCTCAACAGAATACAGAAAGCACTGGACGGGCCGTTTCGTCCTATATTTGGGACTCATCAGCATCATAATAGACTCGATGAATTATTTAATAAGGATTATTTTAAATCCTTCTTATTATTTCTATCACTTGTATATCTTTGCTTGAATCGGCTTCTAATGCTTTGGATGGAGCGGCTTGAGGGTAGTAGTCGTGGCTCGTGGGTGCACAGTCCTATGGATAAAAGAGAAACACGGATGAGTTCTACCACGGAATTTGTGATCGAGCGGCGCTATATCGAGTCTGATTCGGTACCTCTTCGTTGGTATGGCGATTGCCTCCTAGCGTAACTGTTCGGGTTTCAATTCTTGGTAGTGGATGCGCACTGCTGATGAGTCCAAAATACAGGACGAAACGGCCGTCCAGTGCTTTCTGCATTCTGTTGAGGTTTCTTCTAGACTCGATGAATTACTTAATTATGATTATTTCAACTCCTCCTAATTATTTCTATCACACACACACACACACACACACACACACACACACACATATATATATATATATATTACATTTAAAAGAAATTCAAAGATTCCCCTTTTCTCACCGCAAGAATTAACATTGTAAGATTTGTCAACACCAAGGGGTTTAGAGATAAAATAAAAACCCTTTTATTTTATCTCTAAACCCCTTGAAACTCACAAACAACACAATATATATATATATATATATATATATATATATATATATATATATATATATGTGTGTGTGTGTGTGAATATATAATAGTATGCATGTAAAAAGAGAGCAGAGAGAGAGAGAGAGTGTGTGTGTGTGTTTTAAAAGATAGAAAGTAAGTCAAACAGATATATACTAAAAAAGACTGTAATCAGTTGTAGGCGGAGACGATGCGGGTGTGTCGAAAAATGTCTTGAATTGAAAGTATCGACCCAATAATGTATCATTTCTTCAAGCGAATACTACAATATAAAGTCTCTACTTATTTTTTTTTTGTGCAAATATCGAAAATTTAAAGATTCGAATAAATGAATAGACATTTTTCTTTCGGTCAAACTAAAACTGAATTGTTACTTTACTCTTTTATTTAAAACAAATTATTCATTAGAAAACTTTCGAGTTTTATAACCAAATCGAGAAACCGAATAATGTACATCTTTTAATAGATTCTAAATTTTTGACACAAATGTGTGCGAACACACATATTGTCAGTATTCTGAAAAGACGAATCTGTTCAGCATGGAACTACATACGGAGCAATGGATGGTCTTTAAGAAGATGTCACGTTATAACAACGTCATGCGAAACAGAAGGTTGAATAATTTCTAGTGTTGACATAAATCTTGTGTTTATATATGTGTATCTATATTAGAGAAGAATTTTCGATAAAACAACCAAGTTCAATTTTCAGAAAATTTAAAAAGAACTTCGAGAGTTAATTTATTGCAATATGAATAAAAAACAAACAAACAAAAAAACAGTTGTTCAAGTCAACTTTATATACCAGGCAAACAGCCAGGGTCGCCTCACTAAAAAATGAACAATATAATCATTTCACCATTATAAATTGTGTCAGACAATAATGAGCTTGATCTATACGCAAGATTTATATTTCATTTTTCGCTTTGTCCCAATGATAATGGAATATTTTCCATCGGCAACTGTTTTTTATATATATATATATATATATATATATATATATGTTTCATTAAAGACGAAAGACAAGGGTCTTTTTTGCTTTTGGTCTTTTTTCCTTGCGTTCGAACCAGTGTTTTCTTTTCTGGACACAGTGGTTTTAGAACCTGTTCAAATATTTTGTAATTCCGAGCGCTTTCGGCTATACTTTAACCATTATCAAGGATGATTTTATATTTATTTTTTAACTGTATGTATGGGTGGTTATAATATATTAATAGTCAAGTTAAAACACAACACACGTGGCCTGAAGAATGCGTTTAAGCATGAAACAGACTGTCACAGGTGGGTGTTGACCTCAATGTCCAGATTTATAATATATATAGAGGGATGAGATAGAGGGGGAGGGGACGAGATTGTAAAGGAAGGGAATGAAAAGAAGGAAGAAATGAAGGGAGAGTAATAAAACTAAAATAGAATGAACTGGCCAATAATTTTCCCCTTAAAATGTAGAACATTTATATATATATATATATATATATTTATTAAAGACATTTTTATTTATGTTTAACGTTGTTATTTTATAGATACAAGTATTTAAGCAAATGCTCTGTTTATGATAAACAGTATTAAATAATATTTACCGGCCTGAATGTCTGAGAAATTTTATAGAAAATATTCGTTCATAGACAGGATTCGAACCTGCATCCTATACGGAACCGTCATATACGCTGACGTGCCTTAACCACTCGGCCACCATGAACCTTATGGTAGACAAGGTCGAATTTACTGTTATAAACTACAATCTTCCATTCCATTCATAACTGCTCTGGCGTATCGAATGTAAACAAATGACGTCATATGTTAAGAAATGGACGAGGTCCGACAATTTATTTATTAAAGACAATTTATGTTTAACGTTGTTATTTTATAGATACAAGTATTTAAGCAAATGCTCT